TGAGAGGAGGCTCCTGAACCCTGTGGGCACCAGAGGGACTGCCCTAGCTGGGGAAGTCTCAGAGTGTCAGGTGGAAGACCCTCCACAAGAGAAAGAGCGTGGAAAATGGAGAGCCCTAAGCCTGGGTGGGAGGGCTGGCCCACTGTGGAGGGAGACCTGTCCTGTGGTCAGTGAGTGATCTTCTTGTTGCCAGATTCTAGGGGTAGGGACTCAGAACATTAAAGAAAGAGATTACTAGAGAGGGGGGAAATGTTAGTGACCCTAGCCAAGATGCAAAAGGGGAACCCTCTTCCTTCCATGGATGTTGGTGGCTGTGGATCTTGGCTCCAATCCCACCCTTAACATGGGTAAAAGAGAAGAGCTGGACAAGACCCCAAAACCTAGAGCAGTGCCCATCCCTGCAGCCCACCTGGAGAGTCTCTTAAAAATAAAACCATGCCGTTTTCTTCATCTGCCCATTGCATCTAGGTAAAAAGTGCATCAGAATATGCAGCCTGGAGTCTGCTCTCTTAATCAAACTGTCATCATGAGTAATAATTATACCTTGGGAAACAGCAGAGTGACTCAAAAAGCTGTCCCCTCCCCCAACCCACCCCCTCACACAGCTCAGAGCTTTGCACACAGTATGAAGAGGCCCAGAAAGGACAGGCACCATTTTCTCCTGTCAGCTCTCTGAGTACTTTCAATGATCGCTGGGGCTCCAGTTCCCGATGGGCATCGCTGGACAGTGCTTTGCTGGCTAAAGAGTCAATTAGGCCTGTCTATTCCCAAGGTGCAGTGGACTGGGAGGGGGACGGGCAGGAGTAAATACTGTTAAGTGCCTGATGTGTGCCCATGAGGCAGCTCCCAGGGAAGATGTCTTTGCCTCCAAGAAGGTGGCCCATAGCCTTAGGAACTAAATAACTAACTAAATAAATAAAGTGCTTCCCACAAGCTCAGATACAGCTACAAGCCAAAACAGAACAGTTAACACTCATGGGCACCCACCATGTGCCTGTTACTGGACTGAATGTTTCATGTGCAGCTGAGGATATTAAATTGTGAATAGGCCCTCTGGGTGTCAAAATGTTGAAATAATAGTCTGTACTCATTAGTACATGTCACAGCCCCCTGAAGACCTGCTTCTTCCACCCCCATAGTCCCCCTGATCTGGCACTATTGGGGTGATCCTGAAACAGCGGAGTGCCTGAGCCATCTGCTTAGGGTCATGCTAGTGTCATCTCTGGTGTGTGCCCCCAGTGTATACTATCTCACCCCAGCCTTTCCAAAGCCCCATAAGATAGGGATATCTTACAGATGAGGAAACTACAGCTAAATGACCTGCCCAGGGTCATACAGAGAGTCCCAGGGCTGGGCTTGGAATCCAGGCGTGCTGATTCCTAGCCTGGGCTGTTGACCACTGGCCTGCTTAGGAGGGAAGCACACATGAGGCTTGTAGAGACTGTGCCCCTGCTCTCGCTCCTGTGCCCTGCAACTGGTCCATTCTACGAGGAATGGTCATGAAGCCAGACTGCTCAGGACCATACCCTCAAACAACGGACTTCTGCTCCCGTGCTTCTCTGCTCCCATCTCCCCTGTGTAACCACCATTCACCCAGGGGCCAGGCCCACATAGGGAAAACTAGATCTGAGAGACCCCACACCGGGTCCATGGGAGGACCACCATACCCCCTCCCCTAGCCTTATCAGCATCTTTAGGGATGTGGAAATACTGTTATCAGGGACAGGGGCATAAGCTGCAGGGGAAGAGTTAGGACAACACAGGGAGAGTCTCTCAAGGGAGGATGGTGATGCCAGGAGAGTCGCACACAAGAGCTTGTTCCCCAAAGATCTCTGAGGTGGACACAACTAAGTCCAGGATGAGACAGGCTGGTCCTGGGTAGAGGAGGAACAATACCTTCAGAAGTCCTGTGTGACACCTGCCCTGTGCCCCCATCCACACTCGCTACATGCCTAATGCCACGTCCTTTATAAATTTTCAAGGTTTCTAGGCTGCCTTCAATGAGTGCTTGCATAAAACCAGTGACGCGTACTTTACTCAGTATCACTTACCATAACCTTGACCATGCCAGTATGAATGACACACCTCATTTGAATGTTTTGACAATGGGGCACCTCTAACTATCTCATGGCACAGAGTCTTTCTGAACACTCCTGGAAAATGCTGCCCTAAAAGACTAGGGACAAAAATATTTATTGCTGGGCAGGGGGATGGGGAGATTTACCACTGGAAAGAGGGACACTTTATAACCCAGCAGTTCCCACAAGGTAGACACACTTTCCATTTCCTCTTTCTCTTAACAGACTCTAAGTCCCTCCAGGATCCATTTCAGGAAACCCTTAATTTGTCCTTACAAATGGTCTTATTAAAGTCAAAGCCTGGTTTACAAGGCACCCTTCCTCCCTCCATCCCGGAGCTCCACTTTTCTAATAAGGAGCTCATTATAAAACTACGAATAATCAAAGCCTCATTTTATGAAGAATTTGCCAGCATCAGGCATTGTTAGGCGTCTGATGTGGATTCTCCTTTAATTCATTCACAGTTCCCTTCAGCTAATTGGGCTTTGAGTCATTCCCACTTGGCCTACCTGCCACCCTCCAAGGACAAGCCTGGGTATCTCCTCTTCCTGAAACAGGCCATGTAGATGGGTATGGTAGCCCTGAGAAAATAACACCAGCCCCCTCCCTGCCCAGGGACTATCCCCCCAATCAGGATAGTCTGAGGGCTTCATGGATGCTCCAAGTACTCTGTGGGTGCTGTTTTGGTCACCCTCTGTGAATGTGTCATAAAAATTAGTATGGACCACTTTTTCCATAATGCACTATCACCCATCCTCCCCATAAGCAGGAGCTGAGGCTCAGAGAAGTTAACTGGTTTCCATGAATTTGAATCCAGCCCTAGAGGGCTCTGAAGCCCAGTTTCTTTCTGAGGCACCACCCTCCTCCAGCTCTATAGACAAATGAGCTGACCAAGGAATGGATTTTCTTCACTACCATCATCATCATTATCATCAGAGGTCACTCAGTGATGGAACTCCAAAATGGAATCCGGGAGAATTTGGTTACAAGATAAGTGTATCCTGAGACGGTCTCAGGGCAGCAAGGCAGTTCCCAGTTTTGACTTCCCAGAAGAACTCCAACTTAGAGAAAGGTTGCCAGACAGATACGGGACACCCAGTTAGATATGAATTGCAAAGAAATGGTGAATAAGCATAAGTATGGGTATAAGTATGTCCCAAATTGTTGAATTGACATACTGAAAACAAATATTCAAATATGCTTATTTGAAATTAAATTCTGAGTGTCCCATGTTTTTATTTGCTAAATCTGGCACCTTCATCCCAGAATTGAAGGCATGCTGGGAAGTCTCATGCTGGGCTCCAGGTCCCAAGCTTTGCTCCAACAAGAGTTGCCATGGCAGCCTGAGCATGCCTTCAGAGGCTCTGGGGAGCTGTCTCAATTTACCTCACAGTTTCCCCTCGCCCCTGCGCTCTCTAGGCTCCCAACTAACCAAGCTACTTTCAGTTCCACCATTTGTCAAGCTGCTTCTAACTTGCTGCTTTTGGCCTCTGGTATTTGCACTTCCCTCCTCTGTGCTGTCTTCTTCCCCCTCTTCCTCTTTCCTGGCAAATTCCTATGGATCCTTCAGTCCTGACTTAGCGCCACTTGTGCCAGGAACCCTTCCTGGCCATCCCTGACTGGCTCTGCTCTCCCACCCAAGCACTGGATTGACTGCACTCTGTCTCTTCCCATGGCATGCCCTGCTCTTCCCCACTCTGTCCTGGCAAGCAAGGGACATGTCAGACTCACCTTGCCTTCCTGCACCTAGCCTCAGTACCTGGTTGCAGGTGAGAAGCCAGTAAGAGAATGAATGAATGCAGACTGTCCTGCCAAAGTTGGGTCTTCTGAGTGACTGCTTCCTTTCTCTCTTCTGTCCTGAGTCACTTTTTCATTGCTGCATCCTGCTCTCCCCTGCCCTCCTACCCCCAGCAGTGCTTAGGTCTGCAACAGCCCTTCAGGTGAGCAGAGAACAGCTAGGACATGGAGGAAACTCCTGGCACCCCTTACCCTGTTCATGCCCTCATTAGGCCAGCCTAGCTGCAGGTCTGCCTAAACCTCTCTGCCTCTGTTTTCCAAGTCCTGCTGGCTAAGGCCACCCCTTGGTCCCAACTTGGTTCCTTAAATGATCTCAGTTGGAGCTTGCCCCTTGGGAGTGGGGACATTCTGGTGTCATATGGCCCAGGGTTAGGGCAGGTGGCAGCGTTTGGTGGGTTTCAGAACATCACCCATATGCTCCATATTCACCCACCCAAAGCTTTGCCCACGCACAGCCTGACAGCAGGAGCAAGCAGCCCAGAGCTTAACCCTTGAGGGGTATTTGGAAGACAGCTTCAGAAAGAACCAAGCACACACACCCGGAGTTGGGAGTTAGGCTTGAGTCCCCCTTGCAGTGCCCAGCCTGCTTCCAGTCAGAGCTCTGGGTTCAGAAAACTGGGAGGGAGACAAGAAATACCTGGAGGAGTGGAGTGGGATGGGGTGGGTGAAGAATGTGACCCCAGGGGGTGCTGAAGGGCCGGGAGAATGGAGCAGGGCGGGGCAAGGGCCGAGGTCCGAGGCCGGAGCTTAAGTTGGATTCCCAAGCCCCCAACTGGCTCTCGGCTCTGACTCTGACCTTTAGAGGCACAAGCTTTCCGTTCCTTCGTGCCGGTGGCCCCAGCTCCCCTGCCTATGTCAAGAGCACAGAACGGGGAAACACCTTTGAGACTCAAATTAACTCCAAAAATAGAACCCCTGGCCCCCAGCGGAAGGCCAGAGAGCTCGGGGCGTGCACCGCACCGCGACTCCCACTTTCTGGGTCAGTCGCGCGTCTTCCTGGAACCCCTAGTTCCTGGTACCAGGTACCCCGATGCCGGAACTGCCGCCCGCTCTAGCCCCTTCCACCCGGTCAAGCCTCCGAGTCTCCAGCCGGCGCTGAGCCGCGAATCGCGAGAGGAAGCTCACCGAGAGCGAGGCGCGGACTCCGGAGACCGCTTCTCGGGCGCGGCCAGGTGAGTCGGGGGCTGCGCAGGTTCAGGTGAGTCGGGGTCTGCGACAGGTACGGCGCGGTGGCTCCGGAGGCTGTGGCTGAGTAAGAGGGCTGACAGGTTGGTGTTTTCCCCCTCCGCCTCCCAGTCGTTAACCACACCCCTGCTGCTCTCCTCCCCACTTCCTTAAAGGGTGGGGTGTGCAGTCTGTGCCTGCTCCAGCCTCTTACCATAAACTCTGAAATAGACGCTGCCGCCAATTCCCCGAGCTGCCGGGCTGACCTGGGGCCATCTCTGCCGTCCCCCTGACCCAAATGGGCTCCTCAAGAGCCCCCGGTTCCTACCGCCTCTCCCTCCTCCTCCCACTCCTCCGGTGGCCTTTTGGAGGCCACACTTCTTTGGCTGGCTTTGCAGTAGAAGAGGGTTACCTGTCACGCTCTCAGCACCCAGTCTCTGCATCCACACTAGGCTCAGCCCCTTGCAGGAAGGAAAGATCAGGTGAATACCCAGGGCGCTGTCAAAACTGGTTCAGTTCCTACCTAAATACTAAGGACCAAGTGCCTGAGCTGAGACTAGCAGGCTCAGAGGCCAGAGGGGGAAGTGTCAGAGGAGCCAGACAGTTTTCTCCTGGGGTCTCTCCCCATGCCAGTTCACTTGGATAACTAAAAAAAGGGTATGGTCACCTGGTTACTCAGGACAGAGGGATTTGAAGCAGGGACTCAAGGGCAACTTGCAACACTTCTTTCATCCCTCTGGAAAGATCCCAGACTTTCTCCAGAGTGGGAGGAGGTGAACTGGACTCTGCAGAAGGTCAAAATGCAGGCATGCACTCATTGTCACCCACAGTTTCAGAGTTCTTCTTCAGAGTCCCTTCCCCATGACTCCATAAGTTGTGTCATGCTGCTCAGCCACCTGTGACAGCGAGGCATATATGGCTACTTCAAAGACATTTCCTCCCTGAACTAAGTAGATCAGACATCCCAGGAGGAATGGCTTTTGGCAAACATGTCCGGGATGTGACCACTGTGCTAAGGAAGCACTCATGCCACATGATTGCCTTGAATTCTCCCCATTTTCTGAGACTAAAAGGCAGACTTGATTATTAACAAAACCAGAAAGTCAACATTTTTTTTCAAAGCCTATCAATGGACAACCAGTGGCTTTTCCCTGGATGCTACTCTGCATCAACTGGATATCGGGTGCCTGAACAATGTGCCCCATGGTGGCACTCAAAACCCATTATATGCAGCTGCTGGATTCCTCTCCTTAGTCATTATGCTCACAGATTTGTCACACTCTGTGCAATCACTTGCAGTCTTAAAGATAAAGCTATGGCTGCCAGTGGTCAAAAGCTTGTCAGGTCAAAGACTTTGACTAGGACTTGGAGAGACAAGGCAGGTGGATAGGGCAAGCTGAAAGTAGGAAGGAAGGTGCTGGGACGTTGAGGTGGTAACTGACAACACGGCCTGGAGACTCCAGAGGGCATCAGGAGGTAGATGGCCCTCCCATCCTAGCATACAAGGCTGAAGGCTGAAGGCCAGGTGCTAAGAAAGTTAGATCCCTGAGTGAGGCTCTGAGAGTCTGCGGGAGGGTAGATGGTGCAGTGGGAATAAGACCAAAGCCAATGGGACCACTTCATGAAGAGGTGCGTTTGTGTGTGCTGCCCCTATGTGGCCATGGGGGTTAACTACAACTTCATCTCTACTGGACCTAATTCAGGGAGATTTCAGATTGCTTTCAGCAGTTGTTCAATTCTTCAGAACTTCTTTGTAGCTCCAAACCTAGCTCCAAGAAGCATAGGAGTATAGGGTTTTTTAAAATATAGAGACCTTGAGAAACTCCCAAGATGACCAGTTCTTCCTTCAGGTCTCCTTAGGTTCTGTCCTGTGTAGCCAAAAGGTTCAAAGGTGACAGGTCACACATTTCCCACCTGTCCCCTATCCTTTAAACAACCTGTCAGGAACTCTATGATTTTATATTGGTGCTCTAAAATACACTACCACGGCTCCTTGTAGATGTGATAATGACCGACATCATGGAGAAGCAACATTTCTCCTTCTATCCACTCTGCTGCCAATGTGGGAGGCCCTGGTGGGGATGGTGCCTGCGTCACTAGGCAGAGAAAGTGTCAGGAAAAGGATTCCGAGCAAACATTCCTTAGCCACTGGGCTTTCCGTTTAGATGTCCCTCCCTCGCTGCAGGCTCAGGTCTACAACCTGCATCAGACGCGCCCCAATAGCTTCCCCTGCAGTCCTATCCCTGAGTGTCTCCCAAGCACCCACTGTTAGAATCCGTGACTCCCTCGGAATCCCAAAGCCATGTAGTCTCCACATCGTGGGAATCTTTCCAAGCATCATTGTTTTTAAAAAATTTTTTTTTTCCTAATTCCGTCATCCCCACCCTGGCTCAGATCCTCTTTGTTGTCTGGATTTCTGTGAAAGGGCTCTTCTAACCTGCTCCCACCACTGACCTGGGAGTCATCAAGACCAGAGGAGCCTGCACAGGTGACAAACTTTGGGGATGGCATTTGGAAACACAGGGATGATTGTTGAGGGCAAGAGTCAGAAGAACAGAGAGCTTGAGGCCAGTCAGGCTTTATCCAGGAGCAATTGTGCAGAGGCACAAGTTAAATGGGGCGCGCTGATGAGAATCAGAAAGAGGACACGGAGGTAGCACATGCTGGCAACTCTTGTGAAGAGCTTGGCTGTCGTGGGGAAATTGGGGGAGGATTGAGAGAGGGCCGATTTGTGATTGGTTTAAGGTAACAAAGGACCCACCAAGAGGGAAGAGGCTGCAACCTTGAGCAACTGAATCCAACTCTCTGAGCTTGTGCACATTGTGCCCCTTATCTGCACTTTCCAATAAAAGAAGCACGAGGAGGACATGATTAGATATTCTGAGAGACCATAACTTTCTCCTTCATAGCTTTTCTTATAGTGTTGTTATAATTGTTCTATTTTATTATTATTGTTAATCTCTCACCTAACTAATGTGTATATTAAAGTTTCTCACATATGTATCATGTATGTATGGATAGGGTTTAGCACTATTTGTGATTTCAGGCATCCACTGGGGATCTTGGAACATGTCCTCCTTGGATAAGGGGGGCCTACTGTACTTACTAATCTAGAAGATGAGAAGAATAGTATTATCTGCTCTACTGTTATGGTCTGGATAGGAAGTGTCCCCCAAAGGCTCCTGTGTTGAAGGCTTGATCCCTAATGCAGCAACCTCCAAGGGGTGGAAGTTTGGGGAAGTGATTGGCTCGTGAGGGCCTGGATCTCATCAATGCACCAATCCATGAAGGGATTCCTAGCTGAAGGGACTGCTGGGAGGTGATAGAAACTGTAAAAAGTGGAACCTAAATGGAGGGAGTAGGTCCTTGGAGGAGGACCTTTGTCCCCAGTCGTCTCCTTCTCTCTTTCTGTGCTTCCCAGCTGCCAGGAGGTGAGCAGCTTTCCTCCAATAGAGCCTCCTGCCATGATGTTCTGCCTCACTTCAGGTCCAAAGTAATGGAGCCAGCTGACCACGGACTGAAGCCTCTGAAACCATTAGCCCAAATAAACCTTTCCTCCTTGCTTTTCTCAGGCATTCTGTCACAGTGATGGGAAGCTTACTAACACATCTACCTATTTCATAGGTATTGTAAAGCACAAATTAAATGATAGCTGTGAAAATGCTAAAAAATGCTATAGTTATTATTTTTAGAAATGATAGGAATTAAACAGCATAGAGTTAGTGGGAGAGATTATACACATATCTGAATACAGATAAAACTTACCGAATGTTCACTGTGTGCTAAGAACCTTCATTTATCCTCTGTTGACCTCTACAACCATAGCTGAGGTAGATGGAATTATTTGCAGAAAGAAAAATGAGGCTTGGAGAAGGGAAATGTGTCCACGGCCATGAAAGTAGGAAAGAGCAGAGCTGAATCTAAAACCATCATTGGAGGGGCTGTTACTATGTAACTGGAGCCTCTCCAGTGAGAGTGAGAGAATTTAATTTACATAATGTAAATTTACTATTAGAATAAATTTTATTCTAAAAGGAAAGTATAGTTATAAATGTTCTGAACAGAAATGCACAAAGCAAATACTCATGGAGACAAGGGCAAAATGATTCAAGTCCCTAATCGAGGGATGCCTATCTCCAGTTTAACCAGAAACCACTGAGTTTAGTAAAATGGGCCACAATTGAGTCCAAAATAAAGAACTCAAAACCACATTCTGAACTTGAAAAGAACCCTTTTATCCCACTCATGAAAGTACTGCTTGCTAATCTCCAGTATCCATTTTCTTTCCCTTCCCTTTAATAATTGAATTTTAAATTTTTGTTAGGTCACAGCCTACCCAAAATCTGGACTACATTTCCCAGTCTCCCTCACAGGTGTGATCATGTGATGAATGCAGGACAGTGGTTGGTGAGTAGAAACTATGCATGAAACCTAAGGATCATGCCCTTCAAGGGAATGGGCACACTGTCCAATATTCCCTTCTCCACCTCCAGCTGACAAGAAAACCTGGAGCAGCCATCTTGGTCTATGATGTTGAGAATGGCTGAGTGAGGTGAGATGAGATCTGGGTCCCTACCCAGCCACATGCTCACCCTGGGCAAGATCTGGACCTAGGTGAACTTTTAAAAGAGAGAAACATTTAACGTGCTCAGGATACTACATTTGGGACCTTTCTGTTATATAGCCGGAACTGCATCTGTGATACTGTGAAGTAAGAAATACGTATTTGGCATCCCAGGGGTTCCTGGCTCATTGCTCCAAAAAACCATTGGAATCTCCAAAATAATAAGTGTCTTTTGTATACAAACGGGACAACTAGTGGTAGGAGGCCCCTAAATAAATGCAGGATGGGGGCTATATCCAGAAAGACTGAGGCAGGATAGAGGGATGGACATTGGGTGCCCTCCCCCAGCCTCTGGATAGGAGAGAAAAGTTGAGGTGATCACCTGGGGCCGTTGTAACTGGTTGATGGAATTGATCATGCCTATGAAGCTCCCTAAACACTCAAAAAGACAGAGAGCCTCCAGGTAGGTGAACACACAGAGGTGCTGGAGGGTGGCATCCCAAAGAGGGCCTAGAATGTCCACACTTCCTTTCTTGTGCCTCTTCACATTTCTTTCATCTGGCTGTTCATCTGTATTCTTGGTATTATC